TTGCATTTTCCAAACATACTGCCCAGGAAAATGCTAATTGCTGCAAGGTATTTCTAGACACATTTGGAAAATTATTATTAAGTTCTCTGTTCCAGAAACCTTGCCTGACATTGTTAATTTTCATTTTCTCACTATGAGGAATTGTGAACCATGTGCCAAGTTCTTCCTTAATTTTAAAGTTCTGTGCATTTTTTTTTATTTTGTTGGTCAAACTACAAGACTATTGTATATGCAAATTTCATTCAGGGYACAGAATTCTTTAGAGATTTTGCAGATATAAAATAAAAACATTTCTCCCTCTCTGCGTTTGCTCATCTCCAGTGTCACTTGAGAAGAGTTTGGATTTAGGTTTCCGCTTCAGAATTGATTGGCAAGAACAGTAACAAAACCAGGATCAGATCTCTAGTAAAAATACAAAAGAGTATGAGTTGCAGAGTTGAGGCTGTCAGGGCTCTGTGACTCCCCTTGTGCAKGCTCAGCAGTTCCTTCTTCCGTGCAATACAACACATTTTTCTCTTACCCAGCACAATCTGTAGAGCTSAAAAAGAAAATAAATACTGTCATCATTGAGAGCCTTCTCCTGTAGCYAAGCTACAGGTTTAGTCTTTGAGGAAGAACTCATTAGAAAGGAAAMATGCTTCAAAGTTTCCCTGAAACAGCTCCTCAAGCCCATTTAAAAAAAAACCAAAAGAATCCATGCCAGGCTAAGACACCCCAAGTCCAGGTGCTGCTCCCCCARTCCCAGCTGGGCTGACTCAGGGAGCTGGAAAATGGTCCCTCAGCTGCCTTCCCCACATTCTCCACACCTTGTGTCRCTCCAGCCACACTGCACAGGGAGTCCAAAACGCAGGAGACTCACAGGGATATTCCTCAGCAGAAATGTAAAGCTTGGGTTTTCACCAGGAGGAAAGGATGAMGGCCAGAGAAAGGCAGTGTCCTATTTAAGGAGATGCTCCGGGTGCAGACAGGTGTGGAGCTGCGTTTAGGCAATACCCACCTCTGCCTCTCAGCACAAGGAATGCAGAGGGTGTTCTCATGCTGTGSCTACAGTTTGTTTTGTCTTATTGCCCAGTGCTGTTGAATTTTTAGATCAGCTTAAATTTTAACTCCAGTGCTCCCAGTTAAAGTGAKTGTCTTCTGAATGTAAAAAAGCCAAATTCAGGGGAAGGGTCAAYGTGATTTCTTCTGATTTTGGCAAATGGAAAAACTATTCTAGATTAAAACTTCCTTGYCTAAAAATGTTTGGTCATTTTAGTTTTCCTCTTATTCTGACATTATCTCTACTGTTTGTAATCTGGAAGCTTCTTTGGTTTTTGTTCATCTGGATGAGCTGTATAAAACTTGTTATTTCATCCTTTGCTTTCAAGACCAGAGGATCTTTCCCCTCAGGTGGCTGAGGTTCTTAGGGCCCTCTGGTTGCCTTTGCTTTGTAATCATTGGAAACAACTCTTGTCATTTCTCTGTGGCAATTATTCTGAGGGGATGTTACCATTTTGTAGCTGACAGACACAATGTCAGGTGGGATGGGGCTTGGAGCAGCCCGATCTGGTGGAAGGTGTCCCTGCCCATGGCAGAGGGTTGGAATGKGATGATCTTTAGGGTGCCTCCCAACCCAGACCATTCTGTGATTCTGTGATTTGATCAGTACTTTTGTAGTTAGGCCGAGTGTACCTTCAGTTAGGATTTAAGAACAGCTTTGAAATGGGCTAAGKCTGGAGCTTCTCAGAAGCACCTGGCTCTTCTCAGAAACTGTCCCAGATATTTAATCTCAGCTTTTAATTTTAGTTTCTAGGACACTGCAGGTATTTACTACTTGGAGTAAAGCCCCTGAATTAAGCTGGTCAGTTTCTGGGAGTAAATATTTTTATGTAGTTACTTAGTCCCTTGTGTCTAGGGGAGYACTATTCATGGGAGATTCCTTTATCATGATTTAAAGTTGAGGTCCTGAGTGTCTACAAAATAAACTTGCATCTCTCTGGGCCTTCACGAGAGAAATAAAATTGGTTCCTTTTTTATTTTTTTTTTGCCACTCTTAGTCTGCTTTTAATCTGCCAAGGCATATGCAAGTTTAAATTGATTAAAGTGTTCTCATTTCCTGTCCTGAACATGTTGTGTAATAGCCTTCTTTAGCTTTTTTTAAATATTTGCTCTGTCTCACTCCAGCACTGGTGGGTGAATTAATTACCACATCAGATCAGTTGGTACGATGCCTTGAAATCTGCCAGGCTGGGGCATTATTAGACCCTGCCAGTGCAGTTTGTAGTCATAGGCAATAAGTGCAAATTGATGGAGAAAGAGGCATCTTTACCAGCTGTTACCAAAGGGGCTGCTATGGTAATTTTCATGTTTCAGTCAAAAGACTTATTTTCGAACAAAAGTATACTAATGGGTGGCACTTGTTTTGTTGTTCAGAAAGTTTTCCAGATCTCCAGTAGCAAGGTATGCTGGTTTTGGGTTCAGTTTGTAAACACTACAAAAGCAAGGGGTGACAAACTGTCAGAGGTTYACAGATCTTTCCATGGTTTTTGGTCAGTTTGGTGTCGTCATCGTCTAAACACGGGCAGGCTGGACTGGAAAAGATCTCTTGGGTCACAGCTCCCTTGTTTCTGCCTTTCACAGGCACTGTCCTATTACCCTTTYTATAAGTGCATTCAGCTGTGTCTTAGTACTTGGGGTTTTTGTCTTCATTTGGGAAACTTACCAAATGTTGCAATCGGGTACTGTTTTTATGAGCTTCTTTAAATTTCCCTTCTTACTGCTGTTCASACAGTCAGAAAACTCTGCTGCTGGGATTAAGCCTAAAGGTAAGAGCTGAATTGGACCCTGCAGGTTAGACAAAAAGTRTTGCTAGTGTCTCGTGGAGGTATGTTACTCCTTTTTAAAGCTCTGCATTTAGAAACAAGCTGCACAAACATGAGATCAAAAATTATGTGCTTGAATTAGCTAATAAATAATGTTTCCTGGCAGCAGCAGCAGCACGTAATCATATGCATTATACAGAGTATCAGACTGTATTTAGTACTAAATAGCRCTTCACGCTGGTCTCTTGTAAATCAGAGCTGTCTCGATGTAAAAAGACAAACATGGATTCAAACTGCAGATTCGGATAATTTGCTCCACCTACTTAAAAGCCAGCTATTTCAGGAGAGAATTCTAGTGAGTTACAAGCCCGTCTCGTATTTCCAAAAGACATTTCTTTACCAGTTTCCAGTGTTCATCCCATCACTTTGTCTTCTTTAGGTAATACATAAATCTATCAGAAAAGAGCGTCATCTGTAACCTCCAAGGCCCCTTAGTGACAAGCCCCATTGTCAAAGGCGGGCACTTTGCCAGGAAACAGTGACTCCCAGAGAGAGTGTGCAAGGTTAGAGGGAAAGTATACTATTGCCAGAGAAACTGTATTCCAAGTGGATTTGTGTGGAACAACAACAATATCCAGTGACKGGTTAAATTAGCCACAGATGTGTTCTCTAGAACACCATCCAAGAAGATATCCAGYATTTTAAGGCTTGGTTCAGACATAATGATCTTCTGAAGTCAAATCAGATCCAAGCAAAATTGCATGGGTACCAGGGAAGCTTTAAAGGAATTCTGTAATATGATTCAGACAAGTAGATGAATCAGCCTGCTGCGAGCTGAACAAGGAGCCCGCCGGTGAGAGATGAGGTAAGAGGGCTGCACAGCAGCCCGGGCTGAGCAGTTTGCTGTTAAAATCGGGGCTGGGGAGGATTGACAGGGGCAGAGGAGCGGGCAGCCAGTGCCGGTCACTCGCCCGGAATGTGTGTCCGGAGCGGGCTCTCCTTGCCGGCCGTCCGAGCCCGGCTCTGCCCGAGCCATGTCCATCGTGTCCCGCAGCTTAACGGGATCATTGCTGCGCTCAGGGAAATGCACGCACTTATTCAATATTTGGAGAATTTTCACATGCTGAAATCGGAGTGCAAGCGAAGGCTTTGGGACTTTGYTCGCACGGGAGAATTTTGTCTTGGCATCACAGCTCGAGCGGTGCATGGGATTTTTGTCTGAATTGGGTGTTGAAGAGCTCAGCTTCCCTCCCACAGACGAGCCCTGACTCTCCTTTTTAACGTTCAGATAAGACAGTCAGTGGAGAGAAGTCCTGTTGAATTACAGATCTCCTTTATGCTTTAAAGTTCTGGGGAAACATAAGCAGCTTAGTTACTGTCGTAGTCAGAACAGGAGGCAAGAAAAGCTTTTATTGTATTCTCTGACCTATTTACCATGTTATTTACTTGAACTAAATTGGATATCGTGTATTAAAATGTTCTCATCTAAAAGGGCCTGGAAGTATTCAGCCTAGATTCTCCTTGCAATAAGCATTAATGGTAAAAGTGGAATTTACAAAATAGCAGTTGGCAAGTTTCAGAGCAGTTATAAGTAAAATAATTTTCTTCACAATAGAAGTGGCATATCTTGTGTATGAAAATTTTTCTCAGTTGCTCTTTTTCAGAGCTTTATTAAGTGTTTTTAATGGTATTGGTGAAAATGTGAAAATAGATCTGTTTGAGTTTACTTTGAATTTCCAGATACAGTTCCAAAGAGGAGTCAAGTGCTGTGAATTTATTCACAAAAATATTATTTTATTTGCCTTGTTACCTTTTAGTAATAAATTGTTTTAATCAAGCGAATTATATTGCTTTGCATCCACTGCTTCCTCATCCTTTGAGGTTTGAATTCTGCTTCAGGAGGTTTTGCACTTCTATTCTTAGGAATTTTTGCAGGTCACATGCAAGGCCGTGTGTGTGTGTGCATGCATGCGTGTATGTCTTTGGACAGCATACCAATAATTAGAATAACTCTGCAAAGTCATGGCTTTGCTTCAGGAGAACTCACAAAAAATGATACTTGCGTCTGTTTTCAGGTATATTTTCTGATTTCGACTTATAATAGCCAGACATCCTGACAGCAGCAGAATGTGTTTCTTCTAAAATGTGAGTATTTTGAAAATGCTTGTACCTATGGTGATATTTCTTCTCTCTTTTCAGGGTCTTTGTAAACAGAAGTTTAGCCATGGAAAAGATAAAGTGTTTTGGTTTTGATATGGACTATACACTTGCTGGTGAGTATCTCCTTAAATTTTTTGACCACTGACTTAATTTGGAATGTTGCTTCTTGCTGAGCAAAAACCAGAAAAATGCTGATGGGGCTAGTCCAGTTAACAGGTGCTTCTTCTATTAGTAAATGTATCTCTCAGTATTCATTACACTTTCATTTTAGGTGCTTCCCTTARATTTGTAATCTGCAAACTGTATTTGACCACAAGCCATTTTACTGTAGTGCAGTTTCAAGTGATGATGGGTGTCAAGAAAACTAAARCTTAATAAGTCTGATTGCTTCCTTATATTCCAATTTATTTTGACAGTGCCCCTTGTGCATGCTTGTATAACAAGGTCATTTCTTTTATCCTTGGTGCATATAGCAGGCTATAACTTTAGCCAGCAGGTTCTCCTGTGTCCTGGGAGGGTCATTTTTGAATAGGTTTTCCTCCTTTCCCTTCCTGGGTTGGCCCATTTGACTCATTTTGAGAAGAGGCACGGCAGGGGGAATGCCTTGTGTCATCTGAACGAGTTAATTTGGAAAGCTTTGCCCATTCTTTATGACAGATAAGCTTTGGGAGGTTGYGTAAGAGTTTTAGTTTCATAAAATGGCTTGCATGACTTCTCCATCTTTCAGATACTCAACAGGCAAGTTCCCTGAGAGTTTTGATGAGAGGAAATAAAGCTACCATTTTCTTCATAGTCAGACTTGCATGCTATATGTTTTGAGGAAGGAAGAGATAAAAAGCTCATTTCACTTTCCTAGGTTATAGTATCACACAGGCTGTGTCATGCAATTCTGCCTTCTTTCTCATTACCACTTCCAAGGTTATGGATAAAAAGTTCCTACCACCATTAATATTTCAGTTTAGAGTTGTTGTCTGTGTGAACTGAGAAAATGTGAGAGTAGAGTGTCAGGGTCACCTAATAATAGGTTAATGCAGTATGTCAGCTGTGGTCATCTGGTTACTGTGTACTGAGAAGGAATGAGAGATGAGTGATGTGGCTGGGGACAGTGTGAGGGTCAGGAACTGGGGTCAGAGGCTAAGTGAAGGGCAGGAAGGTTTCCATAGGCTCGTGGTTCAGCAGCAAGGAGCAGTTTTGGAGACTGTGGCAGGTAAYTGAAGTTTGTATTTAGATCACTTCCTTGTGTTCTTTTATCCATGAGGAAGTAGTTACAGATAAAAGGTTTAGTTGTTCAATACCTTATTTATACATCTGTTTAAAGTTCTTCTCACCTTTTAAGTCGTGAAGTATATTGTTGTTAATCTGTGCTGAGTATGACTGCAGGCACGTGCTTTCTGTTTGTGTTTCCCAGCTGTGACAGTCTTGTGGCAGTGCTTTTAAGGAGTGCATGAAAAACAGCTGTTCAAGAATGAATGCTTAAAAAAAAAAAAAAAAAAAAAAAAAAAAAAAAAGAAAAAGTTATGGGTTTCAGTTCAGTAACAGAAAAACAATTTCTGTGCCTTTTGCAAAGGAAGCAGCAGCACTTCCCAARGACCCAGGTGATCCCAGTGGGGCTGGTGTGGAGCATAAAGCGTGTTGCTAATTTTCATCCTGACAGAAGGAGAGCTTTAGCACTGTCCTCACTTATGTGACTGTTCATTTTACTCAAATGTTGCTTGTTCCTGTAAACACAGAACAGATGTATTGTTATCCACAAAACGATGCTTGGTTTGATAAAAGGAAAAAATGTGAATGTTTCAAGCATCATAAAGCAGTACCAGGGACATAAAAACCTGGGGCTTCCAAGGCTGGAAGGTCACAGTGCTCCAGTTAAGCAGGCAAAGTTAGTGCATTCAGGGGAATTGAGTGACARGGGTGGGAGGCAGAAAAAAAAATGGGATGTGGTCTGAGCAGAAAACTGGAAATCTTGACCCCTCTGGGGTAAGCTGCTGTCCAGTGATTTTYTCCATGGTACAACAGAGATAACAGGTGCAGATAATTTTACTAGGAGTTGTGAGAATGTAATTAGGTTGGAAAGCCTTTTGCAGATGAAAAACATTGTGACTGGTAAGTACTATTTCCCTTTTTAACACTTAAGCTGGAAATTAACATATGAAATGACCTGTTCATTTTCTTATGTCTCAGAGTCATCCTTTCCTCTCCATGTGGGCTTTTATTATCTGAACATTATTTGCTATATATAGCTTTCATAGGAGAAAAAAATACTTATTCACTGCAGGGGCTTTAAAGAGTGCAGTGTTAGAATATGATTACAATTATATTAAATTAATTGGAAACAGTAATGAAGAAGTGGGACAAGTGAAGTATTACAGCYGTATGCTGTAGGTAGTGCATTGATTAGACACTGTTGTGTTTTCTGACTGGGCACATTATCCCTCACCCAGTCTCTCACATGGACATGCTACTTGTCTTGATTAAAAAAAAAAGAAAAAAAAACAGTGTAAAAAGCCAGTTTATATGCAATTTAACATCTGGAAATGGTATCTGCATACCAGATGGTGCATGCTGAGCAGAAGCCTTTTGGAGACTGTTCAAAACACGTAAATAGGCCAAGGAAAAGAACAGAAGTGTCTCCAGTGTCATTAGCTCTTCATCTAATTTTCTGCATTACGTAGAAATGCAGAAAACCTTCAGACGTTGCTAGGCCACTTTTCTGTGAAGTTTTTTTAAAATATCCCAATCTTTGTACTCAACAACTGAAGACAGGCAGAGTCACTGACCCTGCCAAAATCTCCCCTTCTGTTGTGAACTTTCACATCAGAAATAAACTGATGAGAGTCATACATTTGAMATCACATAAGTGATTATTTTGGAACATGTTGAATTACTTGTCTTGTAAAGATGTGCTCCTGTCTCTTGTCTCTCTTCTTTCCAAATCAATGACCACTGGTAGCACCAAAAGCCTTCCTTAGGAGGTGGTTCAGTACCACAGAAGTCAGAATCATTTGATGTATTTTGAACTCTAGAAGCTTGAGATAGTGTTATTCTTGTACCTTATGAATTTAAGGACACAGACCTACTTACAACAACCATCTTTTCTGTCTAGAATAATCTAATTTTGGTAGGGATGTGGCATTTCCATTTTGAAGTCTGTAGTAACAGCTACCATGCACATGCTGCAGTGATCGTGTTCTACTACCAGCATGTCTGAGAATGTCAGCTTGCCAGCTGAGAGCTGTTTTAGTATCATCATCTTACACTGCACATAAAGTACAACTTCATGTGTTATTTTATAGAGTAGTATTTCTCGGAGTTATTAAATTAAGGAACCACTTAAYTCAGAATTTAAAAGAATTCAAAGTTGTCTGATACAGCATTGCTGCAGTGTTTTTGTTCGCTTTCAAAGTCAAAATTAGGTTAAACTTCCAATTTTTGTAAATGACTCCTGTGTTCCCTGATTGTGCTTGTCTCTTTTCTTGCATWGGGTTGAGAAATACCGTTAATGGCTGGGTTGGGCAAACAAAGTCTTTTTGTGTTGAAGAGCCTGAAGGTTTTAGCTTTTTCTTCTGAGAAATGATGGACCTTACATAGCTGAATTTGTAATCACTGTAATTACAGCTAGAATTAATTTTGACTGCTGGGAAAATAAAATGAAAGCAAATTGAAATAACTCTCACAGGTTTTAGATTTCTTGTTTTCCCATAAAGGATTGTTGTTGTATCCTCATGGGGTGAATAAGATSTCTTACATGTATGGAAACTCCCAAATCTCACTAGGTTCATGTGCTGGAGGCAGTAATAGTAGAGACTCAGAAATCTGTGTTAGGTATGAAACTGGCTGTCTCCTTCCTATTCAGTCTCTTTGGGAATCACATTTAGTACACAAAATGATGTTTTTTTAAGCTGGGTGTTCTGGGGAGGCAAGTGGAAGGAGCAGGAAGAGCAGCAGGCTTTGACTCTGGTTTGTATGCTTAGTTAARTAGTTGCCACTTAAAATCTTGCAGCGTTTGACATAAGCAAGAGTCATCAGCTATTTCAGCCCTTGCTGTTGGTGGAGGTTAAGGCAAGTTTCTGTGATGTTATGCAGCCCTTCATTCCCTGCCTCTGACCTTTCTGCCTGCCAGCCTGGGAGCGAGGCCCTGCCAGCTCCCTGCGGTGCCCTTGCTCCTTGGAAAGCCACGGCATTACACCCAGGGCTGAATTTACTGTCAGGGCAAAACTAAGWATTTCTGAACTGTTTAAATTAGAGAGATGGAAGGCTATTTTTGTAGTTATTTTTTTTTCTGTTTGGTAAATAGTAGTTTCATGTATTATCCAAATGATTCATGTCTGATTATTCATCCAGCCAGAAGACCAACAGTCACTAACAATTCTGGTCTGCCTTCCTTTTTTCACTAGTACTGTCAAAACTGCCCTTGCTTTGGTAAAATAAAATGTTACATGCAATCCAAAAGATTCACAGCCTTCTCTGTTTTGTGTTTRCTGCTAAGTGCAGAAAGTAAAATAAAGATCTTCACTGCTACACTCACCTGAGCCATGAGGAGTTGGTGACACCCATTGGAAATGCAGCAGAGACTGGTTTCACACAGCATTTTATTTGGCTGCTTTCTTCTCATCGTGAGCTACACTTAATTATTAGATCTGGATCCAAATAATGCAGGAGGCCTTGGCATTACCAGCTCCTAAATGGGACAGGCTGCACAATGAGGTGATGGATAGAACCAGAGCAGAGCTAAAGCAGTGGGGTTCCCAAACTGGCTGTAATTTCACACTGGGCCATTGGCAGATGGAGAGGGATAGTAAGAATTATAAAACAAATTGTGCTTGAAAAGATTCGTCTGTGACTACTCTTCTTCTCCAAAAGTTACAGCCTTGTTGAAAGTTTTATCTTCTATTCTGAAGTAGATAAGAGGTAATATTAGTAGACAGGATGSTTTCATTTGGAGTGCTTTTCCTGTGCTTTATTCATTGCTGCTTCTGTGTTCTCYAGAAATTGATAATAAAATTATCATTGGCTGCTGAAAACTGTTTCAATAAAAGTGCAAGGGAAATGAGGCTTGAAAAGTACTGATTTTATTGTGTGCAAATGTGATTAATGCAACATAATCTGATTGGAA